CTGTCGGCTGAGGCGTCCGCTCGACACGCCCGTCAGTGTCCCTTGGCCGAGTGTTTTGTTGTAAATAAATGTCTTCTTTCTTTTTATAAAAGAACAACCCCTGTAACCCACCCGAGCTGCTTTCAATGGCTGCGGGACCTTGCGGGCAGGGATGGAGGCACCAAGGCCACCCGTGTTTCTTCCTGCTCCCCGCAGGGGGTTGCACGAGGTGACCTGGAAATGGCCCTTCCCACCCGAGCAGTGTCCCAGCCTGGGCCCTCGGCAGGCAGCGGCTCCACACCTGGGTGCTGTGGAACGTCCCAGCCACGTGGATGTGGAATGATGCTCCGTGTTCTCAGAGAGTGGTTCTTCCCTTCACCCTTCCCCATTTCACGTCCCTTCACCCCCCCTGCCCTGCTCTGTCACCCCAGGATGGAGTTCCTGGGAAAGTCCCGCAATGTTTGTGGCTTTGTGCATCAAATTTCAGCTCGGGGTGGGGAAGGTGTAGAGGCAAAAGCTCTTCAAACTGGAAGGAGCCCCAGTGTGGCCTGGAACAGAACTGCTCCAGTCTGACACCCCATACCATTACCAGGGGCCACTCTTTGGGGGTCCCCACAGGCTCCAGGCCTGAAGGGGAAACACCTGGGGGGGTTTCAGATGTGCTTTGGTTGCACAGGGGAGCAAAAACCAACCTGGCCCCTCATTTCTCCTGTATGGATGAAGACAACCAAGAGTAAAGCCCTGGAGGGTCCTTACTGTGCACAGACACCTTCTGTGGTCCCAGGGGTTTGTTATCACAGCTCCCCAAGCCCCTTGTGCTTTGGCTGACAGCATCCCAGTACGGTGGGGTCAGAAAGGAGATCATCTCATCCCACCCCTGCTCCAGCAGCTCACCCACAGCAGGGTGCCCAGGGTCACAGCCAGGCAGGTTTGGAATCTCTCCAGAGGAGACTCCACAGCCTCTCTGGGCAGCTGCTCCAGGCTCAGCCCCCCTCACAGCAAATTTTCTCCTGTTCAGACAGAACCTCCTGGGTTCCAGTTTGTGCCTGCTGAGCCTTGTCCTGTCACTGGGCAGCACTGACAAGAGTCTGGCCCCCTCCCCTTGCCCACCACCCTTTAGCTACTGATCAGATCCCCTCTCAGGCTTCTCCAGCCCCAGGGCTCTCAGCCTTTCCTTGTCCCAGAGATGCTCCAGGCCCCTCAGCACCTTCAGAGCCTCTGCTGGTCTCTCCAGTAGTTCCGTGTCACTCGCCCCGAGGATGATTTCCAAAGCACACACCCACCAGGGTAAAATGCAATCTATTTTATTGGTTAATTATGTACAGGAGATTCTTGGTATTCACAGTAACATGAGACAAGCTACTTCCACAGACAGCAGGAGTAAAACCCAAACTGACAGTTTGTAAACAAACCAAGGAACCCTGCTGGGTGTGTGGGACCAGCTCAGGACAAACTGAAAAGGCACTGGAAGGAAAACAACACGAGCAGCTGAGGAAGAGGCTGGGGCACTTTGTGCCCTTGTTCCAGGGCTGCCAGCCAGAGGCCCCTCGTGTGGAGGCTGGGGTGGGACGTGAGCAGCCCCACAGGGCTGAGCCTCCTGGTGATCACCTGTCTCCTGAGGATTCCATCTCCTCATCAGCTGAGTGCTGCCAGGCACCACCCAGCACCCTCTCAGTGCTCCCAGCACAGCTCTGAGTGGAGTTTCTCCAAGCTGAACCAGAGCAGAGCAAGGCCAGAGCTGGAGGGAGGCACGGGCAGAAACGTCCCTCCCTGGGTGGTGCCTCAGCCCTGCAGCTTCTCCCCATGCCCACCTGCCCCTCAAACCTTCCCCTCCTGCTGCACCTCTCCCCAGAGCCCAGCCTGGGCTCATTCCTAGCTCAGGTACTGCCCAATGCTCCAACCATCCCTCTCCCAGGCTGCTGGAAGGGGGCTGGGGCGCTTGCTGGACGCTTGGGAGACCTGTGCCCAGGTTCCTGCTCCTTCAGTGACCACTGCTGGGTCACCTCACCTCCCTCTCTGGACAGCTGAGTGCCCTTCCCTGTGCCAGCAGGGCAGGAGGTGACCCCTCAAAGGCAGAGGTGCTCATCCCTGGGGGGAAACAATTCCAAGGGCACAGATGCTACACACAGAAGGAGGCAGAAAAGCTACCCAGAGAGCCAAGGCTGTGCTGTAAAAGCCACAGCTCCTGCCTCATCTCCAAATCACCCATGAGAATTTGGCCACTTGAACACAAGGGAAGGTGACTAAAAGGTGACAGCCAGCTCAGGCCAAGCAGAGGTTCTGTTTTAGAGAAAGACATGGTGAGAGGTCTGTGAAGTGACCCCTGGCTCCACACACAGCCCCTGGGGACTGTGCCCTGTGGTCACACATCCCCACAACAGCAACAGCCAAGGGAAACCCCTCAGGGGGCTGGGGGGGTCCCTCAGGGGTGCAGCCCCTGCAGCATAGAGCTTTCAGAACAGGAACAAGCCTCTCCAGCACTGAGCTGCTTCCAGGTGCATGGCCAGCAGCAGGGTCTGCTCAGAGCTGCCCTGCAGGGCTCAGAGGGGCTGTTCTCTGCTCTCACAGAGCCACCACTGCTTAGAGGGCACAGAAGATTTTTACCTCCACGACAGGCACAGGGAGAGGCTGTCAGGACATCCTCCTGCAGCCTGTTACAGACACAGCTCCCTTCACAGCTCACACTGGGGCAGAGCTTTTCCTGTCTCTCATCAGGAGGTGCCTGGAGTCTTTCTATGAAAATAACTTTGCCTCTTTCACCCAGGTGCAAATTTGCTACAGAAAGAAACTCTTTAGAAACTCGAGCCTGCTTTTAGCTCCTCTCCTTTTATTCTGTTTGCACCACCCAAAGAAAACAAGATGTCCAAATAAACAGGTGGAAATAAAACCCCCAGATGGTGACTTCAGCAGCCAGTTCCAGCTCCTGGCAGCAGCAGGGAGGGATTTCCTGCTGCCTGCTGGTGGGGGTGGGCTCTGTGCTGGTGTTGGAGCATCAGCAGGATGAAGAACCCCCAAGCACAGGGCTGGGTCTCACCCTGTAAGGCTTACAGGGCAAGAAAAGAAAATCCTCTTGACAAAGAGAAAAGGAATTCCTCTTGACAAAGATCAGCTTTCCTGACACAGACACTGCCAACAGTGCCATCAGTAGCATCTCTGGAGGAAAAAACCTGTGCCCAGATGCTTTCATCTCAGGATTCCCTCTTCTCATGCACATTCCAGCTATCAACCCCAGCCTGAAAGTGGTGCCTGTTCCCTGGGCCCTTCCAAAAACCCCACTGTCTCCCTTTTCAGCCAGTTATGGGCACAAACTGGGTGTCTCAAGTAGAAGGAAGACTCCAGCCTTGCACCACACCCTGCACAACGTTCTGTACAAGAAGAAGCAGCCTCCTAACCAAGTGCTAAACCAGAACTGGTGTGGTGGGCACCCCGTGGGTGAGCAGCCAGCCCTGGCCCTGTCACTGGGTGGGAAGTTCTGCACTGAGCTTGTCCCCCATGGTAACCCCTGCACCTCCAAGCCAACACAGCACCATTACTAAGACAAAGAGGAGTCATCTGGGTCAGGAATACTCTGTCATCAGCCCAAGCTGCTCTAATATTCACCTGAGAAGAGACCAAAGGCTGCTGTAGTCCTGTCTTTTCTTTCTTCTCTTCCCCAAATCTCTCCTTTACAGGAACACAATTGTTTTACTTCACCCCACTCAAAGAATGCCCTTTTCAGACATTTTAGTGTCATGAAGTCATTATTTAGCTCTCACCTCATTTACAGAGCTAGTTTTAGTAAACCCAAAGCCTGGCTCTAGGTCCATCTGGGTGCAATTTGCCATGAAGTAAACATGGGTTCAATGGTTTATTTAAATCTGTGCCCTGTAAATACACAATTGTTGTCCTGTGTCTACTCCATGTATCCCCACGACTGGGAACTGAAAGCAGCCAAACCCCAACGTTGTCCCTTGAAGCTGCTGAATGCACCAGAAGGTGAACAACACTCATCACAGTCTGATGGGCTCGGAGGACAGACCCAACAAGACACCCTGCAGCACGTGGGTGACGTGCTCATGTCCAAGTACCCCCTTGCCAGGACACACAGAGTGTGTCTGATGTGCAGCACCAAGTCTTCCTCAGAGGCTGAGTCCTTCTGCATCAGAAGGTGTCATTGGCCCCAAAAGCCACAACGCCAGGGAGGTCTCCTCCCCTGGCACTGTGGACACACTGAGAGAAAGTAAAACTAAAACAGCCATTTGCATACAGGGGGCTCCATGGGCAACTTTGATTTTTACCTACAGTTCATAAAACCCTCAGAGGTGCGCATTTACAATTGAAAAATAAAATATCTTTCTTTGTTTGTTTTTTTTTTTTCCCCTAAAGAATGATTTCTACATTTCTGTCAGCCAACTAATTTCAATCACAGCATAATCTAAGAATAAAGCAAACCCTAGCCAAGGATGGCTACCACGAGACCCTCCAGAGTCAGCCCTGCTGCCAGCCTGCAGCAAAGGGGGAGCAGCATCCCCCAGCTCCTCACAGCCCTACACCCCAGCTAGGAACTTGTGGTGAACTCCAGCTGATTTTTGTTTGTCTCGTTTCTCTTTCAAGCTTAGGAATGATCCAGTCCTCGTGGTGGCTGAGCTCCAGGAGAGCAGGGGGGTGGAGAGGCTCCTGGGCAGCACCGGCGTTAGTGGCAGTGCTCTGTGATATCCACCACGACTGCCTTCTTCCAGCTGAAGAAGAAATAGCCCGTCCCTGCCCCTGCTGCCACAGCTATGCACAGGTACCCGTTGTAGGTCATGAAGATCAGCATGAGGAAGTAGCTGACCACGACTTGAATGATGTGCAGGATGGTCTGCAGGAGGTGAGGGAAGCTCAGCATCTGCTGCCTGGGAACACAAACCCCACAGAACAGTCAGCACCCACGAGCACGGGTGGGAATAGGCACATCCCTGAGGAGGAAACCTGGCTCAGGGGCTGACAGGATGCCAAGGTGGGCATGAAAGGGCAGAGGAGATAATGAAGCAGGCTAGACACAGGTTTCTGCATGCATCTGCCAGTTGTAACTGTGTTCTTCTCCACAGAGCTGACTGGGAACAAAGGAAGCAAAACTCACTGGGAGGACAAAACTTTTAGCTGAGAAACAGACTTCTACAAGTTCATTTTACCCCACGTTGAACGAGCAGAATGGCTTTTCTGAGCAGGGGCTCTGGCTTCCTGTCAGCAAAAGGATCCCAAGTATTTCCTGTCGCTGGCTGTAACACCTCAGTTCTGTTCCTGGGAACTCCCCACATGTGTCTGTTACTGGTTTGCAAAACAGACCCATCTTATCTGCCCCCTCACTGCTTTCCTCCTTTTGTCCCCCATCCCAAAAGGTGGCCAAGTGACTCAAGCACAATGTCCTCCAGTGTCAGGCAGCATCCCAGCCAGGACACAACAGACGTTGCAGCGAGTAATATTGGCTGCAACAAGTTTTTTTTCTGTCCTCGTTTACACCTTCATCAGCTGCTGAAGAAGTCTGCCTTGGAATGAAGTGAAATCCTTACCCAACAGTTTTGTGAGTCTCCATCAGGATGGTGCCATTGGGGCCTGGCACTGGCATGGAGTTGTAGCGGATGCTGACCTGGGATTTGCGGAGCAGACACTCTCGGGCAATCTTGAGGCCTTCATAAAACATGGCCAGGAAGAAGACAGCCACAAAAGCACCAGCCATTTCTGGCAAAAGAGGAAACGTTATTGTGTCTCTGTGCAGCTGAAGGCATTTGCTTCAAAACGTGTCAGGAGACACGTGGAACAACCCCACAGCCAGGACACGCTGCCTGGGCGCCGTGTGCACGCGTGTAGGGGTGGTAAGTGTGAACTGGATCCACACAAGGATGGGAATTCCACCCAAGCACTGGCACCAGGGATTGCTTTTCCTAGTGAGATCAGTCAAATTCTCAAACTAGACAAACATCTTCCTTCTTTTTCACCCCACAGATGCCACTTAAAACAGACTCAACGCAGGGGCCCTGCGGATTTGGGGCATTAATAGCAAGGTAATTCCTGCAGCCTTCACCAGCTGCAGACTTTTGGGTTGGACAGGACAAGGTGGTGTTACTGACCTCCAGGAGTATTGATTGTAAGTCCAGAAAACAGCAATGGCACATTCTCATAGCTGAAGTGGAAAGTCATGGCCTGCCCAAAACATAAAGAACATCAAGATGAGCCCCAACAGCTCATCCTGAGATGGAGCTCACAACAAGCTTTAACAAAGGGTTTTCCATGACAAGGACTTGGTGCATTTCAGTTGGCCCCCAGAGAGAAACTCCTTAGTAAATTCAGTGTCACACACAGAGGAGAGAGGTGGCTAAAGATGCTCCAGATTCCAGCTGTAGTGGGCAACAGCTCCTCCAGGCAGTCCTCCTGGGCAGAAGGCACTGTCCTTCACAGCACCTGCTACAGAAAAGTGCCTTCTCCTTGATTTTGGAGCTCCTCTGCTCCTCAGCATCAGCAGTCTGGGGCTGGGGATGTCTCTGTGGAGCTCATCCTTGCCTCCTCATGGTGACTCATGGGCTGGGGCACAGGACACTTGCTTCTCCCCACCCTGACCTCACATGAGCTCACACAGATGCACTGGTGCAGCTGAATCCTCTGGGCTCACTCTGCACCAGGCCAGCAGGCTACTGTCCCCCTCCTAATATCCCATGGGAAAGAGGCCTAAGTACAAGTACAACAAGGAGTATTGTTTGTGAAGCAGGACCACAGGTTCCCTGGGGTGAAAATGAGGGCTCCTGGAGCTGCACAGGGAATGCTGTGGGAAGGGGAAGCACCAGTGACCTCCCCATCCAGGGCAGCAGTTGCAGTGACCACAGCTGCACACGGTGCTTTGGCACTCAGAGTACTCACTGAGCTGGGAGAACTTCTCTCTCAACTCCTCTCCTTGCTTAATTAATTACTTGCTGAAGATCAGAATGATAATTAATTTCAGCACCCCTAAGGATAAGGATGAGCAGACATTCATCACCCCCAGAGCAGGAACTGCTATAAAGCATCTTCTAGAGAGTGCTTCCATTTTTTTAATGAATTTAACAACATTTTCACATTTAAAACCTAAACCACACAACCCAAGGAGTGTTGCAGCCTGGTTCCACAAACCACAGCTGAAACAGAGCCTGGTCCTTGGTGGGAGTGAGGACTGGGAATACCCACACAACAAAAGGAGCTCAGCTTTTCTCTAAGGTGCTGTACCTGTTAACCTCCTCCCCTGACTGTTTTATGAGCAACATTAAGTCCAAATCTTGTGCAACAAATCACAGTTTTGAGTGGCAGCCTAAGCCAGGGTCCTGTGGCCATCCACTGAGGGTAAGAGCACTCGACACTGGTCCTGAAACAGCATTTATGTGGAAAGTAACAGCTCAGAGAATGCCAGTACTGAGCTCTTGGATTATTGAAAAGCTTCACAAGGACACCAGTGTGAAGTCTGCAAGTTCCACCAGCACTGCTGGGCTCTGTACTGGGCCATGTTCACTAAGGGTAAGGCTGTTCCAGTCCTCTCCTCTCCTGCTATGACACTTCACAATGTAAGAAGCAGTGATGCCTGACTCCTTCTCTGGGGCACAGAGCTGGCAGGCAAGCTTCAGCTGAAGGCCTGCAAAACATACTCCTGAATACCTTCTCATCTGAAATGGAAATACACACTCTCACCCATCCTTTCAAAGTCTAACCATAAATTGTCATGTTTTAATAATCTGAAACTCACTCCAGAAGTATTTAGAAAAGGGAGAAAGAGCTGAAGAAGTCCCTAGAACTGGCTACACAGACACACAGATCCTGTGGTCACCCCCATGGAAACTCAGCCAGGCTCCCTGCAGAGCTCCACTGATGCCAGCACACACAAGTCTGAGCTTTCCATCCAAGGTATCAGAGCAGCAGGGTCCAGGACCAACACAGCCTTAACACCAACATGGCAAAGGGCCCTGGCAGCACTTTTCTCCCCAGACTGAGAAGTTCAGGAGGAAAAGCCCATGGAGGCTGTTCCCCTGCAAGTCAGCACAACCCATCCCACCAGTGTGCAACCCTCTCAGTGCCCCTTAACAGCCTGGAGAACTCCAGCCCTCTCTGTTTCTTCCAGGAAAATGCTTGCTTTGCATTTCTGCCTTGAGCTGGCTAAAGAGCAGACACCAGGCTGGATGCTAGGAAGGCTTTTGCAAGAAAAGACCATTCTGCCAAAGGATCTCCAGCTCTGAAATGTATTTTGTGTGGCCTATCACCTCCTGCCACTCCTTCATTCCAGAACAGCCACACAGGGTCTGTGCTTTAACTGGACAGATTTGTGCCCACCAAAGCTGAGTTCAGTTTCCCATTCTCAAGAGCACACCCTGTGAGGTGTTACTGAGGAGCACAGAGAAGGAAAAGCTCTCTGGTTAGTTGTGACTCTCCCACTTACCATCATGCCAGACCCATGGCCGTGTCCCGGGGCTGCCGTCGAGTGGTGATGTTCAGGAGGATGTGTGGCTGGCAACATGGAGCTGTTCATGTTCATGACACCTCTTGGCAACTGAAGTATTCAAAAAGGCACGGAGAAAAATGGCACCCTGAAAAACAAACAGAAATCTATAGAATAAGAAGCACTTTTCTAAACTTTTCTGTGGTTTCTCTACTGCAAGAGAAAACACCCTAAGCCCCTGAGAGCTACTGCCTCTGGAGAAACCTCTGGAGCATCCTCATGGTCCTGCACTCTGACTACAGAGAACAGGCAGCCCAGCCAGGACAGATTAAAGGGGGTGTGTCCCTCTGAGCTTTACAGCATCACATTGCACCACCCCCAATGTTTTTTCCAGAAAGGCAGCCTGATCTGACTGAGGTAGCACCCGGGGACAAGAGCTCAGCATGAGGGAACACTGCTTATCTGTAAGAGGAAAAAACCCAAGTCTCTTCTCAATGGCAGTCACACAAGAGGCAAGTCCCCTTTTAAATTGCATCTACCCAGGATCAGATGGCAGAATTTCTCTTAATTGACAGTTATGCATTTTATTGGGAAGATGTTTAACACAGCAATTGGGTTAGGTGGTACAAGAGCTCTCCCAAGCAAAGGTCTGGAGTAGCCACGGGCAAGCCAGTCTCATTTCCATGTCACATCTCCCTGCTAATCACACCAGGCACAGCAGGAGGAAGGCTCTGGGGCTGCCTGCCCAGACCCCAAATCTGGTTACTGAAACCAGGGACGTGTGGACACGCTGCATTCAACGCCTGGAGGTGAGCTGTGGGCACAGCTTCTGCACTTTGGGATGGAGCCAGGGACAGCTCCTGCTGGGGGATGAAAAGCCAGCAGGTAGGAACAGCAACAGGAGGGAGAACAACCTAGGAACCCCAGTCAGCCCTGAAACAACAGCATCTGGCAGCAGGACAGAGCCAGGCAGGGGCAGCCCTGGCACAGTCCAGGTGAGATGCCACTGAAGGGAAGAAGCACCAACAATGCTGTGCCAGAGCCTCTCTGGAAGGCTGAGCACCCTCCCAGATGAGACCAGCACTCAAAATGAAGTGGAATAAAAGGCAATGTACAGGCACTTTATCAAATTAAAGTTAAACAAAAGCCCAGAGGGATGTAATTCCTTCCAGATAAATCTGCAGGAGCATCTATAACTGGGAAAAAAAACAGGGCTTTTCAAGCTAAGAGACATTATGGTGTTTGAACAGACACAATCATTGAAGCATTTTGGTTGGAAGAGACCTTTAAGATCATCAAAGTCCAACCAGCCCCCAGCACTGCCAGGTCCCCTCTGCCCCGTTTCCCTCACCCCACATCTCCACAGCTTGGAACCCCCTCCAGGGGTGGGGACTCCACCACTGCCCTGGGCAGCCTGGCACAGCCCTAGGCAACCCTCAAGGGGAGGAAATTGTTCCTCAGGGACAACTGAAACCTCCCCTGGTGCAACTTGAGGCCATTTCCTCTTGTTTTGTCACTTGTTCCTTGGGAGAAGAGACCAACCCCCCCCTGGCTCCAGGCTCCTGTCAGGAGCTGTGCAGAGCCCGAAGGTCTCCCCTGAGCCTCCTTTGCTCCAGGCGCAGCACCCCCAGCTCCCTCAGCTGCTCCTCCCCACACTTGGGCTCTAGACCCTTCCCCAGCAGCTCCGTTGCCCTTCTCTGGCCACACTCCAGCCCCTCAAGGTCCTTCTGGGAGTGAGGGGCCCAAAACTGACCCCATACTTTGAGATGTGGCATCCGCAGTGCCCCGTCAAGGGGGACAGTCCCTGCCCTGCTCCTGCTGGCCACACCAGTGCTGATCCAGTGCAGGCTGCTGGTGGCTCGCTTGGCCAGCTGGGCACACACTGGCTCATCTTCAGCTGGCTGTTGATCAACACTCCCAGGGTCCTCTTCTGGCAAATGAAATATAGGTGTGAATATGTTTAGACTGGGAAAGGGCAGTGAAACCCCTTAGAGTTTTCTGAAGTGAAAGCAGCACTAGCACACAAAGCCCCAGATGGCAGCCAGCAGGTGGTGGAGCTGGCACAGTGTGTGGCAGTGACCCCACCTCAGAGCCCAGCAGGGGCCACCAGTGGCCCAGAACATGACTGTCAGTGCAGCCCTGCCAGCATCACTGACAGGGGCATCCCAAAGGCTTTGGAGTTCAATTACAAAGAGCTATGAGAGAAGTTAAAGATTTGGGGAAAGTAAGAAAACTGCATCAGCAGAGCTGGGGAAAACCCCACAGAAAGAATTAGAATCATAGAATC